GTGTGTGTGTGTGTGTGTGCGTATCTCTCTATGCTTGTGTGGACACATTTTCCTTTAAAAGCTATCAAGCATTTCATCAACGTGTGAGCTGACTGCAGGTCTGTGATACAACGTCTTGTGTGACACAGGTTGACATGATGCACATCCACCTAAACCAAACACTGAACTTAGAAATAAGTGAGAGAATAATGTTTGTTGAGAGGAAATGCGACCTGATTCAGTTCAGCTTTCATTTTGCAAATTATTTCAAAGTTGAAATACCGAAATGATTGCTGGGTACTGTGAGGACATTTTGGACAAAGTTAAAATTAGTTTTAGGGTTAAGATAGTCTGCGTGACCACGGCCTGTAGCAAGTCTAGTTATTACCATTATTGTTATTAGTCTCTTATTTTATATTGTTTTATTGATGTCCTGCTATTTTGCAGTTTTGTGAACTGTAAGGTGTTCTTGATCGGCTTAAAGGCGACCCTGAATAAAACACATTATTTATATCATTATTATTTTAGGGCGTAGGGTTAGATATCAGGGAGGGTAAGGGGCAATGCATTATATCACCGGGTGTCCTCACAACCCATGTAAAATAAGTGTGTATGTATGTGTGTGTGTGTGTGTGTGTGTGTGTGTGTGTGTGTGTCAGCAGCGATGGATGGACGCCTCTGCTCTGATTGTAAACCGCTGCAGGTTGTGTTGGTTGAGTGGCTCTGGGAGCAATGGGGTCTCAATCTTCCACTATAGGACCATGACCAATGAGCATGTGAACACACACGCACTCACACACAAACGCACACTTACTCACACGTACACACCTGGGGTCTCAATCTTCCCTTAATAGACCTTTGACAGTGGCCTGCCTTGTAAAGTGGGGGGTGCGAGCCCGAGTGGCGCCCTGTGCCGGCGAAGACGCCGTTTGCAGACGCATGCAGCTCACACATCGTTCATCCATCTCTCGCTGACTCGCTGCCGTGAATCCACAGATAATCTACTTCAGTCGCTCCGCACTGCACTCATCGCTCCTCCTGCAAGCAGCCTGCCGTCTGGGGCCAGAGCCACGTTAAAGGGTTGGTTCAACACATTTTCCTCACACCAATAGAATCCATTCAAGCACATAGTTTTTGTTTTATTCTTCCAAGGTTTTGAGGTTGTCTGGTTTTTGTGCCTACCCCAAGACAACAAGGACATTTCATTGACTATTCTGCCGATTGTTTTCTTCTGCACATTCAAATTTCAGAAAACCCCTAAGAGATCAAGGCGGCATCTTCAAACTGCTTTAAATCTTTTGCTAAAAGTTTCAAACCCCAATAGCACTAAACTTGGGGAAAGGATGTGATATGGGTCAGGGGAGAACCCATTAGATTTTAGTGTGGCTCCAGTAATTCTTTTCCCAACATTAACAGATAATTAGCTTTGCAGCATTTTCATTTATTTCTCAGAGAACAATAAATGGATCTTGATGACAAAAACCAGGCATGTTTAGGACCAATATTATAAGTGTAGGCAATTTGGTGCAGATTCAAATAAAAATCTTGATCTAGTGAATAAGGGGACTGTCGTGACTTGGTGGATGTCTGCACTCTTCTCGAGTGCTCTTCTCGTGGGCTGATGTAAACACATTAACACAGTAATTATGCTTCAAATGTTGTTTTCCAAACAAAGTTTCACCAAAGCAGTTGAGGCTGAAATCTGACACATGTTCAAAAAGTGAGGAATTAAAACCTCTAAAAAAAAGTAACGTGGGGGAACCGACCCCTATAAGCAAAATCAAAGTTGTATCTTTTCCCTGGTTTATCCTCTTTCAAACCGCTCTGATCCTCTCCTGGATCCACTCAACACTTGTGACAAATCACTGATGTAGATGCTGCTCTGTCAACATTAAGCAGCAGATGTAGCATCACATAAGTGGATCTGGGAATGTTGCACTCGCGTCCCTAAGACGACTGAGCCCCGTCTAAGCGGCACAGACTAGACTTTGAGTAAAGTTGTCTTCCACTTCAGAGCTTTGATAACTCCGTGCTCTCTGTTCCCAGCCCTCTGACTGGGGCTACTGACAGGCCACGGCACTGCACCTCCCCTCCACCTCCCCTCCACCTCCCCTCCACCATCCTCTTAGGGATCCCCTCCCGGCAGACTTCCCCTCCGTACCTGAC